TCTACATGGGGTCGAGGAGGATCTCGGCAACGGATGCAGCTAGGAGGGCATGTAGGGGTATTTTTGGAATCGGGACGACGAGAAAAAACCAATGGTGCCAGTTTCGAGCGAATCGGAGAACTTCGGACCCGGGTTCAAATCCCAGCGGGGTATTTTTTGAACATTCTTTTTATTCGAGTTTTGGCATTGTTTTTGATGTTTTCGAGGGTGCTGATGACGAAAACGACATTTATTTTAACCCCAGACTCAGGTTTAATTCCCGTCAGGGTCAAACATAGGCGAAATTCGTACGTTTCTTAATGTACGGGACGGGCCAAAGTTGCCGATGTATATCGCTACTTTACCTGTTATTGATGGGTATTAAAAGTACGGGATTGCCGGGTAAACAAGCTAGGGCCCGCCCTTCCGTCGAACCGAGTTGCCAGCTCCGCTTCGCTGCGCCGGCAACTCGGTTCGACAGGGGGCCGGCCCAGCTTGGCCTGCCGGCGGCCTTTTCTCGGGCCTTCGGCCCTCGCATCAGACCCAACTTGGACAGTCGAAGGCCCGGGCCTTCGGCCCGCTCGCATCACACACACCGTGAGCGGGTAAAGCAAAGTTATCGATGTACCATCGTGACTTAGGCCCACCCTTCTATTCACAATATGCAATAGTCCTTACACTTTTTACTCCAACTGTCCTTAGAATATGCCCATTTCATTTGTCTCTTCGCCCTCATTCCGAAAATACCCATATTTGCCATGCTACTGCAACTCCTTGCAATAGAGGCACAGCAGGAGCGCAAAACGAGTCCGTCGCACTTTTTCCCATAACTCATGAAGGCGGACTCCTGGACCTCCCTTCCGACCCCTCGTTGAAGAGGTCTTGCCAAGACCTATCCAAAACTTAAGTAAAATTTTTCAGTCGGTCGACCCCCTTTTTTCAAGATCCTGATGTGACTAATAGACGAAGTCGGGCTCCTGGACCCCCTTTCCGACCCCTCGTTGAAAAGGTCTTGCTGAGACCAGTCGAAATCTGCAATAAATTTTTTTAGTCGGTCGACCCCCTTTTTCGAAGATCCTGATCTGGCCAACTTGTAAAAGCGGCCGATGGGGTCGGGACCAGGTCCATTCATCTTGTCTCGTCGCCCCGATTCCAAAAATACCCCTATGTGCCCTGCTAGCACCAATAATGACGGAAATCCCCCTCCCGCTCATGTAAACCATGATGCACCTGCAGCAGCCCTTGTGCGACCCGGACGGGATTTGCACCACCGGATTATTTGTTTGGATGGTACTCCTGAAGTACCCTCCAAATCTGGTTACTCTAGCTCAACTCCTTCCTTGTACACAGACGCCAACAACAACAACAACAACAACAACAACACACAGACACAAAGGCAAATGCATAGGCCCTCCCCCTATTTTTTGAATAGAAGGGCGGGCCAAAAAGTACGGGATTCCCTGTAAAAAAAAGTACGGTGTTGCCTGTTAAAAAAGTACGGTATTGCCTGTAAAAAAATGACGGTATTGCCTGTTAAAAAAAGTACGGTGAAGTCTGGAGTAATCTGTACAGGATTTACCGTGATCTTTTCTCGCAGTGTGCACTGTGGACCAACCCCGTTACTCCTTCATTGCAGGTTGAGAAAGGCGAGATCGACGCTGCTGGCTTCGACCTTCAAAACGTTCCAGAGTGGGAGTTGAACTGGAACCCAACGGACCTCGATGTCGTTTACTCTGCCACCGTGTTCTTCCAGTCTAAAGGTGATACCAGAGCTTCCACAAACAACAACTTTCGTGCCAATACACACTCAATGTCATCGGACTTTTATTGTCCCACGATTTATGCAATTTTAAGCACATCCGACGCTGATACAATTTTGTTCCCATCTGGCGACACATTTTGTCCGACGCCTGCTGCAAATTGTACTTTCACTAAACAATTTGTCCCGCCTGGCGGACACAAAATTGCATCACCACCGGATGTGCTTAAAATTGCATCATTCATGGGACAAAAAAAGTCCCATGACATTTGGTGTGTAGGGTACTTTACTTTCGTTTATCGTGGGACGGAACTAAACGGACCCCACATTGCCCGGAACAGCACCTCTCTTGGCATTTCAAAGTGAGCGGTACCAATTGTGATTAAGGAAATGAAATACATTCGAACAAGAAACGAGTGTAAAGTTAAGTTGTGACCGTCATGATCGACAATCACCGTCATTCACTGTCAATTCATGTACCCTGAATCTGGAGACATTGTCTGAAAGACCACAAACATGGTCTCCGTTTCTCGTTTTAACGCAATCATAAATTTGTTTTCGCAGAGGAGCTTCTTGCCGGTGGTCGCACTCTGAGCAAGGACGATCTCACCGCCCCGAACGGCATTTACATCCTGCAGACCGACATCAACGGCACCGAGACGAACCGACTCCACGTCGCCACCCACCAGTCCAAGGCCGAGTCTGCTGGCTTCACTGAGCAGTCCTGCTTCTTCGGCATGGGTACGGCTTTGCTCCTGAGGACTTTTCTGTGCATAGTTATACCGAGGGGGAAATCACTCTTAAAACCTGCTACCAGACTATTGTTTCTATTCCGCCTCAAAATTTTAGGGATTTAGCTGAAAACAAACAAAAAAACCTAAAATACATCTAATTTGGAGAATTTCTGCTACTACGCTGCTATATTACGCGTGCTATTACGCGAGTGCTTTCCCCCTCGAGTTATACATACGCAGATACGTATGCATTACTGTGAACATTTGATGCAGTAGGATGCATTAAACGTACTCTAACTGAAGAGTGTGCATGGCATGCTCTACCAGGGAGTTGACCACAAAGCACGCTCCATCCTGGGGAGTGCTTACAAGCATGCTTGGCAAGCGGTGTAGCTTGCTTGCAAGCGCACCCCAGGGCTAAAGCGTGCTGCGTTGCTATAACGAGGCCTCATAGGAACGAAGAGGCACGCTTTCATCATAGAGAGCGCGCTTTGAAGCATGCTTTACCAAGGAGCGCTTGCCAAGCATGCTCCTTGGCTTGGTAGAGCGAGCTTGCAAGCACACTGTAGGATGGAGCGTGCTTTGTAGTTGACTCCCTGGAGGGAGCATGCCGTGCGCACTCATCAGTTTCTAGAGTTGCGCACTCTCCAGTTTCTAGTGTTGCGCACTCTTCAGATTCTAGAGTTGACTGACAGTTCGGTTCATAAGGAATTTTTCCTAAACGAGGCAGAGTCTGTCCGCGCCGACAAGTATTGAATTTTGTTGGATGTTGTTGGCAGGCAAGCACTACTTCCAGGAGCTCCGCAAGGACGGCAAGTGCGAGGACCACCGCCCCTACTTCCTGCTGTACGGCCCCGACACCCAGGAGCTCAACGGCTTCGGCTTTGTTCAGTACGGCAAGGTCAGCACCGACGGCCGCGGGTGGTTCGAGTCTCCGCCAGCGATGGTGGCCAAGGTCAGTATCCGAACTTACTTCGAAGCAAGAACAAATAATGGCATTACGTTACTAAAACCACCATTCAAAAATTATCCTTAAGTTTACATTTCCTGACAGTTTGAGAAAAACTTCGCTGTGCCCTTATCGCAACAAATTTTATCACAAGTCGTGTATTGCAGAAAATCGCACCGAACTCCCCCGCATGCTTGGAGGATTGGGTCAACACCTACGGCCTGTTCACCATGCACGTCTACTTCGTGTCCGACCCCTACTACACTTCCTGCTAAGATGCCAATGTTATGTTGAGCCGAAGTCATTTGCAGTAAATTATGCTCCAAACCATAAGTGATCACATAATTCACTCATGCACTGTTAATGGCTGTACCATTGCATGCGAGTCGATGCCCTGTAACAATCATTGCAAATGTCATAGTGTGTTCAATTTGAGCATTTGGAAAATACACAGGTATTTTACATTTAAATAAGTCACAAAGGAGACTTCTTGAAAATGCAACTACGATTGGTACTAAAATCCTCTTCGTCTGTTTTATGGTGAGGGGGCCAATTCCGACTTCATATTTTCAAATCAAATATTTTAAACTTTTCAGTAACACAATGAGGACTTAGAAAGGAATTACACTGCAAATCCAAGTGTAGGACAGGTCGACACTTTAAAGCGTAGACCAGTTTGTCCTACGTTTGCAAGTGTCGACCAGTTGTGTCCGACGCTTTGAAGTGTCGACCACACAGTGTCCGACGCCTGCAAGTGTCGACCACAGAATGTCCGACGGCTGAAGTGTGGGGTCACAATAGGAAACTCAGTGTAATTTGCCGTAGGACAAACAGTGTCCTACACATGCAGGCGTCGGACAGAGTGGTCGACACTACAAAGCGTCGGACACAACTGGTCGACACTTGCAAGCGTAGGACAAACTGGTCTACGCTTTAAAGTGTCGACCTGTCCTACACTTGGATTTGCAGAGTAGAAAAAAAAGCCCTGAAGACTAGTTTGAGAACAGACGAAATTGTAAGTCCGATTACGCATTTTCTCCAGGTAAAGGTATTCGAAACTGCCGATTCGTCCTGGCTGGAGGGAGACTGGGGTGGGTGCTGTCGCTGCGTAACTGTGTTGTGTCAGCAGAGCTCTGACAGGCGCACTGTGCGAAAAAACCACAGTAAATCCCGTTAATTTTTTTGCCGGGATTTACTGTAGTTCAGGACACAGTATTTACTGTGCCTGGTTACAGCATTTACTGTACCTGGTACAGGATATTCCGTACTCCACTCCTGTGGTAACAGTAAATCCCGAACAAAGTACAGTAGATCCTGTAAAATAAGTACAGTAAATCCTGTACTCTGAACTACAGTGACAGCTGTACTTATCACTACAGGATTTACTGTGATTTTTTCCCACAGTGCGTGGACCGGGGGGGGGGGGGGGGGGGGGGGGGGGGAATGCCCCTTCGTTACTAGACAGGGCCTACTGTACGCTGGGCAGGAATCGTTGCTTTTGCCCCATGCACTCACTCAAAAACTTGCAAATCTCTTTGTGGCCTTGCAAAAAAAAGGAAGCTTTGTAATTACAAAGTATGTTTTTAATCATTTCGCACAAACTGGATAGTATCAATCTATATGCTCAAAACACTTCGTACGGCTTAAAGCGTGCACGTTACTCCCTCTTTGGAAGAATCCTGGATTAGCTGCTGGACTAACTCGTCAAAGCCATGCCGAGGATCAGGACGCCGACTGAGACCAGGAGGGCCAAGGACGACTGGGCACGCTCAGAGTGGTTTCTGCGGGCATGAAAAAGAAATTAACGAACAATTTCACTTCATTCCCTTCCTTCATTCCACACCGACACTGAGAAAACCTTACAAACTATTTTGGGCCTTACAAAGAAAAGCAGCTTGTTATAACAAATTACTTTGAGTATGCATAAGCTAATAACAAAGAAAATACTTCGTATTTTACGAACTATTTCTTCGTATAACAAAGGAAATTAGTCTGTATTATGTATGCTCAAAATAATTCGTATGGTTTTAAGCGTAGATGACACAAAGGCATAAAAGTCATGCATTTACTGGGCGTTCACGATTTGTGCCCCGGAACGGCATGCATTGTTTGATGCCTTTGGAAGGGGCGTAAATTGGAAAGGCACTTCAAGTTTTATTGCCCTTCCAAAGAGATCTGATAACGCCCTTCACGGGCGTGCAAGCCTTTACCAGTGTGCCCTGATAAAACTATGGCGCTGTTTATCACGGACAAACCATCTCCTGGAAACTGACCAAAGTTACTGGAAATCTCAGGAGATTTTTCTGGGAATTGGCCGATATTCCAGGGAAGCCAAGAAGATAGGTTTACCGTGAAGATTCCCTTTAAAAGAGCACTGTCAAACACTCTAACACTTTGTCAGTGAAGAACAGAAAAAAGCACACCAAATTACACCAGGATGCAATTAAATATGCATTTCAGCTAAGGGAGAGTGGGGTAATTCCGGACGCTTTTTTTCTTTTTGGTCTTTGAGCTTGAATATGCTTCTTGGGTCAAATGTTATGACAGGAGAGTAAAGTATGGACCTTTACCTTCAAAATGGTATACATGAAAGCCAAATCTCAGCAACGGTTAGGGAGATATAGGCACCTAACAAAAGCCCTGCACGTGTCCGGAATTGCCCCAGGCTGGGGTAATTCCGGACGACCTATGGGGCAATGCCGGACGACCTTAAAATTTGACACTACTCGAGCTTACTGCCGCTTGTTTTGATGTGAGGCGTGCTTTTAGAAGGCGTTCAAGGACATTTGCTGCGAACTGAAGTGTTTGATTGTTACTCAAAGCATATTATATCGATTGATATAAGTTGAAGTCAAATCGGAGTATTTTGAAAAATCGCCTTTTTTACGCATCTAGATTAGTTGGTTCCCGATCGTAGAAAAGGGCAATTTTTCAAAATACTCCGATTTGACTTCAACTTATATCAATCGATTCGTCTTGAAAAGGCGAAAAAAAAGTCTAATGGCGCTCATTAAGTCAGACTTAAAATGGCGATACTATGGGCCAAAAACTGCGGAAAAAACGGAAAAAACGCAATTTTTATTCGGTTTTCCATTGGCCAAACCCAAAACCAATAAGGGTGATAGACCACCACAGGACCTTCCAAAAAAAAAATTATCATCAAAAAATTCGGATGCATTTTTTGGGTATTCGCGAAAAACGAATTTTTTGGTCCGTATCTCCTGGAACAAGTGACTTTTAAAGTGGCTCTCGGGGACTTTTTTTTTCAGTACCATGAAAAGAAAAAAAATCCACCGGGCAGGTCGCCCTCAGGCAACAAACAAATTTTTAGTGCAGGTTTCAGTGTTTTTTACAAAATACGTGATTAAATTTTTTTGGGCCGACCAAAAAAGTTGAAAATTTTTTCTGGAGCTCTTTGCTACATAGGGAACACACCCACAAAGTTTCGTCGAAATCGGAGACATCGATTTCGGGACCTCGGGTGACTTGGGAAAGAATTACCCATTACCCCGTGTCCGGAATTACCCCACTCTCCCTTATTCTGTGAAACCTGCCTTAAATGGCATACTGTGCTGGCGGAAGAGTAAGTAGGTGTAATTGGTCATTAAGTTGCGCAGATATCCTTACTTGAAGGCCAAATTGTTGCGGCGGTTTGCGCGAAACGCCACGCGTGGTGTATCGTGTGAGCGAGATCGTCCCTTTACTGTAGAAATGATTCATGAGGGACAAAACAGGACAACATAGACAGATAAAAACATCACAGCACAGAAGCAACAAAATAAACACTAGATCGTCCGACGAAACGGATGGATACCTGTGAAACCGATGTCGTCCATGAATTTGACTTCGATGTCGAATTAGTATCAGTATTGATTTCGACGTACATTTCATGGTTCATCAAAATCGTTACTAATTCTAAACCACGCGCGATATCGATTCGACAGATATCGGTCCGTTTCGATATCCTAGTTCTGGCTGGGCGGCAGCCTGGACACTGTTGAGGGGACTCACGGCTGGATGTCCTTCCAGTCCTTCCAGAAGGCAACATTGCCCAAGTTCTTAGCAGTCGTCATGGTCATGTCATTGGGGCCGGCAATGCGGAGGTAGTTCACGCTGGGCTCTGCGTTGTTCGGCTGCACCGGCTCCCATACAACACCCGGAACGCTGGGTTTTCTGCAAAAATCACGTCAGTTGCACTGTTCTCCAACGAATGTGACGTCATACTCTACAAACTCAAGTGTGTACCAAGCGTGCTTAAATTTGACGCATGCCTGTTACTACACTCGACCTGGAGCCAAACTGGCATGTACACTCCACGCTGGAGCATGCTTGCCAGGTACCTACACGCCAGATGGCGCATACCTGCAAGTAAGTTACACTGTTGCTCTGCTTTTCATGCACAGGGTAGGAGACTTTATCATCAGTTATTCGTTATCATATACATTATGATCCTTCTCATTCATTACAATTGTGACTTGGGTCATGTTCTTTGAATATTTTTGATGTCACATTTGTTCCAATGTTGACCCACGTTCGCACGAGTGACATTCTAATTAAGCGGCCGTGTCACGTTCAAACCGACGTTACACGGTAAATTGTGACATAATTCACATTCTGACGAATTTGACCTCACATTCCTTGCACAACACTATATCAGTGACGAGAGCAGTGGAGATGCCTTCAACTTACGAGGTCTTGATGAACGAGAACCAAAGGTCAAGGAGGTTTCTGCGGACGACTTGATCGTCCTCCCGGTGGAAGGGTCCGAGCAGATCCAGAGGGTACAGCATGTCGTCTCCGTGGCCCACGCCCAGGCCGCCGCCGTAGTAGCTGTACTCGCCGCGGTGGGCGAACTCGAACGCGTACACTGGCTGCGACTGCACGGACGCGCGCCTCGAGATGTGACTCGACACGCCTGACAGGAAGTTCCTGTCGGTCATCAGCTGCCGGCACGGAAAAAAGGCCAGTGAGATTTCAGAGGATATGAACCGAGCGCGTGCTCTACAAATCGAAAAGCGTACATTGCACGCAGTAACTGGAACATGCCTGCAAGCACGGAATTGTTTGAGCATTGGATGAGTGGCAAAGCGGTTTTTAAGTACCATTCTTTCAACACTTCAAAAGGAAAAAAATGGCCAAAATTGACTAAAAGCTGACTGCAATAGGTCCCCGGGCACAAATTTAAGAGGACCGGTTGCCCTCTTTGTTAATTGACAGCCATGTATGTTTCAGATCTTGAAGTGTCCCACAACTGAATAGTTCAAAATTTACCTTCATGAGCTGTTCCTTGCCCGATTCCAACGAGAGGTTCTTGAGGTAGAATTCACGAATTTTCCGAGACAGAGTCGGCTTTTCCGCTTCCAGGACGCGCTTGTCGTGGAAGTTCAACAGCTCGGGCGCTGTAGTGTCCCAGTGTTCGTCCAGCTCCCTCACCAGCGAGTCGTTGAAGAAGAATTCTAAACCGTTAATAAGAATTAGTCGTCCCTCAAAATAATTTGTGGGTCTAAAAAACTGACAGTGTATGCCCTGCCCAATAACTCAAACCTCTCAAGCTCAAACGGTTTCCTGCCCCGCACACTAGATGTTTATTTTATCGCCTTGTAAAATGGGGCTGAATAAACATGAGGAAGGATATTGAGCGTACTCTAACCTTGCGATGAATGTGGTCGTTTGCTTTGCAGCTTGCGAAGAGATTGGCTTGATTGTATCATACAAACTGGTGGTTCGCAATTAAGCGAACAATGTGTTTGTAAGAGTCCGTAACACAAACGGGTTGTTCGCTAGATTTACAAAAAGGATGCGTTCTTTGCATTGCGAACAAAGAATTCTTCGCAAACTGACGAACTAGTTCGGTTTTTAAAGGTTTTAAGGGCGTATGTACGGTACAAAATTTTAAGTGTTTTATACGAAGAATGAGTTCGGTGGGCTCAAAGCACTAAGCTAAGAAAAGCTACTTTTGTTTGTGATAGACAGGGAAGCATTTCAGATATCTGCAATGCGAACGGCGTTTTGTGCTACAAATTGGTAACCGGCCGTTTAAGACTAATTCGACCCCGCTGAACACGAATTGCCCGGTTACCAAGCTCGATTTTTTCATTTAAGCCCTTAAATCCAAGATGGCGGCCAAAATGGCGCCCAAATGCCCGAATCGCAGTTCTTAACGCGCTGTGAAGCCCACACTCACGAGTTGTTGGTTGGTTTTCAGTTAGATTACCATTCAAGTAACGCGATGGGAGATTTTAGAGCCATGGGCATGAGTGTTCGGGGCCCAAATGCGAAGATGGCGTCCGAAAACGTCAAAAATCGCTTATAACGTCACATTTTGACCGTTTTTGCGACAATTTGCTGATTCTGTGATTGTTTTGGGTCTTCCTTCGACTAGATAAACCAGATTTTAAGTTTGCATGACGTGTTGTCACATATGCTAGGGGCCAACAGGCCAAGATGGCGTCCGACAACGTCAAAAATCGCTTAAACAGCTTATTTTGACCATTTTTGCGGTAATTGCTGATTCTGTGAGTGTCTAAGGTCTTCCTTGGACTAGATAAACCAGATTGTAAGTTTGCATGACCTGTTCTCACATAAGCAGGGGCCTAGAGGCCAAGATGGCGTCCGGAAACCTCCCCAAATCGCTCCAAACTACACTTTTCCTATTTTTGGCTATTCAGCACGTTCTGTATCTCCCGTATCTCCTCGATCCTAAAGCCTGAATGGATCAGGGTGGCATAAGGCGTATATGGAATGTCAAAACCAAATCAAATCGTTAAAACAAATCAATGTTCTATTTTCTAATGTTTTAGAAAAATAAGGTTTTCTAATGAGTAGTTTGTTAAGTGTTCTAACAGCAACACTGTAGTATAGTTTCTTACCTGAAATCGACAGTGACCCAAACGGTGACGTGTGATGATCCTCTTTTAAATTTCTTACTCCACTCTTAATGTCTTACGATGAAATTTGACCTATGTTATTTGTATGTTGCAGTGAACGAAGCGATATTTCTTCGTAATGCGAATCTTCTTAGCTTTTCGTTGTAAGATACGAAGAAAAACTTTCGTAATATGAAGAAAAACCACCATCGTATTATGGGAAATTTCTTCGTAAGACTTTAGAGTGATCTTAATATTTTCTCTATTGATACTTCTGGATTTTATCTCCGTATCTCCAATGTTAAATTTTTTGTGACTTTCACTTCATATACTTACTAACTAAGATCAACATGTTCAGCAACATGTTCAAAAACGGCCCAAAACGTGCCGGGGTGCTGGCGAGCAGGGTGGCTGTGTGTAAGTTGACCCAGTCAACTTACACACAGTGGCTGTGTGGCTGCCGTCAGCCTCTGTCGGCGACCTCGCGAGGCTGCGACGCTGCGGGGCTCCTCCCGGCGTGTATTGCGCGTTGCTTCGAGTGAGGCGCAGCACAGCGCAGCACAGCGCCATGGGCATGGCGGCATGGCCGCGCCATCGAGTCGTTATTGCGACTATGGCGGCGTGTGGCGGGGCGTGTGGCGGGTACGTTTGTAATCACTGTGTTACAAAGATTTTACCGCTGACGACAGTAGGAAAGGTGCCCGGCCACCTTTACTACTAACGACACTTCATAAAAGAAACCGAAATTTTAGGTATCCTTTGTCAAGGATTATTTTGTATTCCTAATCCATACCCTATCTAGTGACGACGTTTATGTGCCACTACCATTATCAGTAAAATAAATCGTCACTGGGTGATTCTGTGCGTAGGTCATTTTGGCTGTAGCTAAATTATAAAAATAAGTTCACCTTTTTGAGACAGATTTGGTCTGGATGGCTCACAGTACTCCTCTAAACGTGGCAACGCTTTGAGTTGACTTTCATTTTCACACCCTATGAATGCGTCGGAACTTTCAGAAATCATGACGGAATATCATATGACGGAACTTACAAAGCGAAGTGTTTAATCAGCTGACCCGCTGCGATACAAGATAGGCAAAAACTGTTGACGGTGTCTTTTCGAGCATCCGAAACATCGCTTTTTAGCGAAGGTTGTGGCAACTTTGTCCCTCGGAAGGAGGGAGCTATGGTCCGAAACGGAATTTACATCTATTTGTACACCCTACCCGTTAAACATTTCTGACGGGCTGGAAGCGTTGTTTGGCCGCCCAGGTCCCACGGGCACGGGCTTCCGGTTGTGTTTCCTATGTTCTTTCGATTCAAGCGGTCAGGGGTTCTTAAACGAAAAGGAATCCCAGTGGAACGTCAGTTGTGAAATCAGCTTAGGTGACGTGGTGGACACGCGGACATTTTCCGAAAGGATGTTTCGAGTTCAACAAATGATGACACAAAGGTCACCTTCCGTAGTTTTGTGAAGAATAAGTCATGGAAATAGTGACTACAGTATGGCAAAGTGTTTCATATAGGTGTTCCTGACCATGATGGGACTTACAAAACGACACTTTAGCAGGATACAAAAACTAGAAAAACAAAAAGTTAGATCGATGTGTCACTTGTCCACATGAGGACATGGTCCTCGTTCACTAAAACGAATTGAATTGCCCAAGCTACCCATTCAACCTCAATTCAGACGCAAGGCCGAATGACCTGAAATGACCCGCCTATGCACGGAATCACACCACCTACATAACTCCAGATTCACGGAAAATGAGGCACTAAATCCGCAGAAAGCGCAAGTTTTTGACTCTTTCGGACGCCATTTGACTGTGGACCCTCAGTTCACGTGACAGCAGGTCATGCAAACTACAATCTGGTTTATCTAGTCGAAGGAAGATCTTAGACAATCACAGAATCAGCAAATTATCGCAAAAAATGGTCAAAATGTGATGTTTCGAGCGATTTTTGACGTTTTCGGACGCCATCTTGCCTGTTGGCCCTAGCTTAGGTGACAACAGGTCATGCAAAACTTAAAATCTGGTTATCTAGTCGAAAGGAAGACCTAAAAACAGCCACAGAATCAGCAAATTATCGCAAAAAAAAAAACGGTCAAAATGTGACGTTTAAGCGATTTTTGACGTTTTCTGACGCCATCTTTGCATTTTGACCCCTAACACTCATGCCATGGCTAAAATTCACCCATCGCGTTACTTGAATGATAATCTACTGAAAACAACCAAACAACTCGTGAGTGTGGGCCTTCACAGCGCGTTAGAACTGCGATTCGGGCATTTGGGCGCCAATTTTGGCCGCCATCTTGGATTTGAGGGATTTTTAAATGAAAAAAATCGAGCTTGGTAACCGGGCAATTCGTGTTCAGCGGGGTCGAATTAGTCTAGAACCGCCGGTTACCAATTTGTAGCGCGAAACGCCGCTCGCTTCGATTTAGAGAGCCTTTTTCAGAAATGCTTCCCTGTCTATGAAGCCTAAAACAGGTTTTCAGAGTGCCATACTAATGGCAACTATTGCCATATTTGTGCAAACGGAAGATTGCTAGGATATAATATATAAATTGGGGACAATATTTCCATATTGAGCTTCAGTATTTATAAAGTTGTACCCAATTAATGTAAATAACTTACAAATACACAAATATGACAATATCCATGGACAAGAAGTCCATTTAGCGAGCGGCATCCTTGATTGGCAACTCATCTGATTGCCCGGGCGTCGGCCCGTGTAACGCCGGGAAGTAGGCAACCCATCCAGCATTCGTGCCGGTGTGCTGGCGTCCAACGGGGCGCTGCCAGTGGAGTGATACTTTCAGTGGGACGGTGTGTGTGTAGGGGAGGGGGGGGGTTTATACCGCTGCACTGTGAGGGTAAATGTCTGGATTTCAGGAAGGTACTCCTAGCAAAAATATTACCGAAGAAACTTATGGAAAGTTCTCTTGTACAGATAGTTTTGGGAATTTGGGACGATTTGAGGTTAGTCCAAGAACGTTTATCATAGAAACACGAAGGATCTTTGTAGGTTCACGAAGATTATTCAGCAACCATTGTTCAAACCATGGGGCTTCGGGGCCACACGAAAAAAAATGCCCTAAATGGATGAATGAACCAAACGAGCCAAGTTATACATATCACCGTAACTTAACAAGAAGCCACCCTGAGCATTGTTTCGCATAAAGCAGGACGCTCCCATTTCTTTACCACACTTTTGCGCGCTTCGTTATCGGTTTCTTACCTCCCCCAGGGAACAGCCCTTCAAGCGGGACGAACCCCAGCATGAGAGGCACATCCATGACAGCGTTCTTGTCTTCCAAAACCTTCTCCGGCTCGCCGGTCAAGAAGAGGCCGTCTACCACAGTGGAAAACGGAGCGAATGGGTTCAGCATCCAGGGCTGTAAATGGTTACAAAACAGGACAGACAAGTGGCGTTAATTTGGAAAACTTTGAGGCCACTGCTAAGCCCCTGTTCCATTTTTGCCCCACCGTGTCCCATTCTTATCCCAAACTAAAATGTCCGAATTTTTATCGTTTAATTACAACACAACTTAAAAATGTCACAACTTTTTGATCTTATTTTGACGCCAAATGGCGTAGAAGAGGATACCCCATCATATAAATGCAGTCCACACACTTCAAATCGCCATTGCAGACTTGAGGAAACCTTATTATTCTATTCAAATTGTCCCATTGTTACCCCAACTGACGCTACCTGGAAGTTCTCCGCCTGCAGGCCGACGATCTCGGCGGCGGGCTTGGTTTGCAGGCAGGCGACCTTGTCCGCCGTGGTGCTGGCGTTGCAGCCGACCAGGGAGGCGACGCGGTCCGCGTTCTCGCGCGCCGAGTGCTGCTGCGCCCAAGGGTTCAAGGGGGTGCCGCTTGTGCCGATCACTCGGTGGAACAAGCCTGGAGAAAACAGAAGAAGTGACGAAAGGTGCCCCAAAGAGAAAAATAGGAGAAGTGGCGGTAGAAATCAGCAACCTTCACTCGTTCACGCGTTCATTCAAAACATTCCGTTGTTTTACCCAACCGTGGGGGGGACCGGTTGGGACGGTGATTCTGGCTGGCAAACTTTGAGTTACCTTTGGACATTGGCGACATGGTGTGCAGCAGACAGCTAGCGCATCCAGCGGAGTTGCCGACCAGAGTCACGCTGTCTTTGTCCCCGCCGAAGTGGTGAACGTTCCGCTGCACCCACTTGAGGGCCTCCACCTGGTCCAGCATGCCGAGGTTGCCCTGCAGCTCAGGGTCCTCGAAGCTCATGAAACCTGCACCACGCAGAGTCAGTAAGACATTTGAAGGGAAAAGGCGACTGCGTTGATTCTACGTCGAACCGATGACGTTTCGAACACCTCATTCTGGCTGGGTAGCCCTCCACAGTGATTTATGTTAATTTATTAACACAGGTTAGGTTAGGCAAGTTCAATCTTTAAGGCCGTTTTTCTAAAATGTAGATTTTCAGAGCTTGCGCGCAGGATTTTGAGAGAACAGTCTGAGATGTCGCCCTAAAAAGTATCACCAAACGAAAGGATCGTACGTCGTATACACATGACTACAAAAGGGCGATACAACAATCCATCACATGAGCACTTTATGCATTGTGTGATATACACTGGTAAAACTAAAGCGTAGTATTACCCTGTTTTCAAGCGTAATCAGTCACGCTTGGAATCAAGAGTAACAGCGGCCCATCCGTCAAGATCCCCTCTATCTGAATGCATGAAGGAATTTCCAGTCCATGCCTCGTTTCAAGCATGTCTTCAAGCGTATGCTTGACTCAAACATAGAGTTACGCTTTAGCTTGGCCAGTGTTTTCCTAGGCGAAATGTCACCCTCTAACAGTGGTTAACAAAAGTGTCACCTTCTCTCGCCGATCCGTTCAAGTATCACCCTTTCTTCGGTCAGACAGTTGTGTCTCACCGCTCAGTGGTTGAGATGTACCAACATCTGATTTTCAGTGTACGTACTTTCTGGGTGCACGATATCGTATTGCCGTACCAAGAACGTTGAGCCGATATGCGATGACGACTAGGACCACGTCGTAGTCCATGATGTACTGCACGCCCGAGCGGGGACCTTGGCTGAACATGAACCCTCCGCCATGGATGAGAACAACGACCGGCAGGTTGGCGACATCATACTGCAAAAACAATGAAATGGTAAGTGAACACCGAAAGACTTTCAGGACGTTTCATGGTGTGGATTGTAATTGTCTAGTTGCGGAATATCGCAACATCATAAGATATTTGCAACTAAATCTGAAACTATATATGGTATTTAATTCGGCACAGTGCCCAGATTTCACTTCGTGACCACATAGAAATTTATGTGTATGCTTTCAAAACCAAAGATCAATTTCTAAGCAATGTCTTGGCTCATGCCAGTAGGTCGTATGTGCTCGAGTTCAATGATTGTTTTTGTGCGTGTGGCACCAAGAGACGGGGCACAATGGAACACTGTCGACTTTAGGACCTCGTACCGGCAGCAGAGGCTCCGAATGACGGCTCGCGAAAGGAAAAGTAATAGTCGGTGGAATCGGCGACCGGGCACGCTCAACAAAGCGAACAGCGTAATTTGTATGCTCTACCTGCAGCATGCCTGCAGGCACGCTCTAGCTTGCGCATGTCTGCCAAGCATAAACTTTCCAGTGCATACATGCTAAGTACACGCTAACTGAAATATGCATCTAGTGCACAGGGGATAGGGAGTTTTCTGCATCAAGGAGCGTGTACATGGCATGCACTAGGTAGTGCATGCTTGGCAGGCATGCGTCAGGCATGAGCTAGCTAGAGTACACTGCAAAGCCAGTTGTAGGTTTGCTTGCCACATATTTGGCAAGCCGTTTTGAATGCCAAAATTTGGCAAGCTTTGGTCAGCACTCTTCATAAGCTTGCCTGGAGAGTATTTCCGGGCCAAGCTTGCCAATTTTTGGCATTCAAAACGGCTTGCCAAATTCGTGGCAAGTAAACTTACCACTGGCATTGCAGTGTATGCTCCAGATAAAGCATACAATGTATGCTTTTCGGTTTGTAGAGCGAGTGTAATCACACACTAAATTACTATGTAGATTTTTTGTGCATGCACTGTAATTTAAAGGGTGAGACATCTCACCAATTTTCGGCGATACAAAGTGTGTCGCCGAAAAAAAGGACGTACACGAATGTATATCATCGCTAAAATGGTCGTACGCGCATCTATCACCGAAAAAAAAGATCGTACACAAATGTATCACCGAAAAAAAGTTGAGACATCAGCGAGATTGACCCTTCTTTTTCTGGGGAAGTATTACCCTTTTTCGATGATACATTTGTGTACGACCTTTTTTCCGGTGATAAATTTGTGTACGACCTTTTTTCGGTGATACATGCTTGTGCAGGCGTTTTAAATTGCACGTATTTGTGCGTAACTACACGGGCGATCACGGTTCCTGGTTAGGGGTCGTGCACATACCACGTGACCCATTTAGGGGGGGGGGAGGGGGTCCGCCAAAAGTCACACCCTATCTTAAATACATGGGAAGGTTAGGTGATCCAGCTCACAGAGGGGGGGGGAGGGGGTCCAAAAGTGGCCTATTTTGGGTCACGTGGTATTTGCACGACCCCTTATATCAGGTAGCGATTTAGCGATTAGCGATTTTCAGGGAGTTCCTGGGAAAACCAGGAACCGCAATTGCCGTGAAAAGACGAAAGCATCCTAGGTCACAAGCAAGCGATCCAACAAGAGCAGTTGGACGTGCAGTCAATGCTCACACTCGGGGTGAAGACTTGCAGGTTTAGGCAGTCCTCTTCGCCGGTCACTCTCAGCGATGTCCTGTGCTGCTGGATGCACGCCGGGTTGTGCTCGTTGGTTGCGTCGAACTGACTCTCGGGCAAGTCCCTGGGCTTCGGCGGCTGCAGCAAGTTGCACATTCTCAGTAAAAACTCTACGAAGAATCGCTAAGCAAAATCCTTCGTAATAGAAAGCATTTCTTTATAATACAAAGCAAGTCTACAACGCCTTCATTTTCTTCGAATAGTTATGAAGCAAATGCTTCGTAGCACTGTCAGAAATTTTGTCGTAAATTAGCGACGAAAATGTCGCTAATTTTGATAGCGACGGAAATCATTCTCAAACTACTTCGTCGTAACTGAACGACTAAAAAATCGTTTTTCTACGACAATGTCGTAATCGCGATTAAATATTTTGGAATCTGAAATCCCCGAAAAGTTGGTCAAAAGTTACAATTTTGCTCGTTTTTTTTACGATTTGTGTCGTTTATTTACGATTCATGTCACAAATTTACGACAAGAGTCATAACTGCACGACATATTCCATAAATCAATTACGATCGTTCGTAACCTTACGATTAAGTCGTAAATTTAGGACTTGATTCGTTTGAAAACGGAACGTCTCGCTATCAAAATTAGCGACAGATATGTCGTGAATTTACGACTCGAGTCGTATATTTACGGCTTGAGTCGTAACAAAATATGTCGTTTAAAAACGACATAATTGTTCTACAAAATGTAGTAAATTTACGATTATTTTTAACAGTGAGGCTTTTATGATTGTTCGTTCAGGAACGAGCTGTGCCAAAGTTTGGCCCAACTAAGAAAGAGCAGTTTTGTTTCGATTCTTGGACCAATTGAAAGCTAACTGCGTTGATCGGTGACTGACGAAGCCTGTTCTACTTAACTTGCGAACATGAGCACTTTATTACTTAGTAGCCTTTTGTGCACACTCCAAATTTCCTACTGAGAAATGGCACGCAGTCATAATACTTAGCTGATTCTCAGTACTCTTTGACACAAATCAATCATAATACTGAGAAATTCGTACGGAATATGAATAAACTGATCACACTCAAAAATAATGTGGTATATTAACGACAGTCGCTTATTTTAATAGCGACACAATCGTCCTGAAACGGTTTTGTCGAAATGAATGACCTTTGAATCGGTATTGTACGACCATATCGTAAAAGGTCATAAATGAGCGGCATTTGTCGTGAGCGAGCGACATCCATCGTAAATTTAAGTCATAAACTAACGACAAGATAAATTGTATTTTTGTGACTATTTTGTCGTTCCTGAAATACCGACATCGTAAATTAACGAAGTAGGTGTAAATTTACGATCAGTCGTTTATTTACAACGTTGTCGTAAAGAAACAACTTTAGTTGTAGAGTATAAGTTTCTGCCGTTTGTAAACGGCTTTAGTCGTGTGCTCACGACTATTGTCGTCCGACCGTAAATTAACGACTTTAAAACAGTTATCAAAATAAACATCTGAATAGTCGTACATTTTTTTCACACTCTCCGACACTCCACGGACATTTTTTTCAGTAATCCTACAGTTTAATTATTTTTTCTGCAATTATAGTCCTTTTGATTGTAAGTACAGAAAAAATAATCAGCAACCTTACAGAAAAGTGGTCTGTTGATAATATTTTCTGCAACTACAGTTATGATCAAGCAGAAAAAAATTACTGTTCCATTCTAGTAAAAATGATCTATAAATGTAGGCAAAATGTTCTCTACATACAGATAATATGTACAAGAATTAACAGAAAAGATTTTAAAGAGTCAGAATAACTTTTTGGATGTTTCCGCTAAAAGTCACAATTCAACCATCTCTTAAAAGCCGCTTACATTGAGTCCTTTCTTGACTTGTCGAAGCTAAGAATGTTTTGTAGGATCATTTTGACTAAGCGCATTACCTTCCACTCAGCTTTGTTTGAACGGAGAAAAATTTCACTGAAAATATTTACTGAAGATCACAAAGTAGTCATCGACAAATTGTTTATGAGCACAAACTTTATCTTCTACATTTGCAGAAAATAAATTCTTTGATTATAAACAAATTTGTCATCATATTTCTACTGACATTGTAAATTTTCTGTAAGTAAGTAAAAGATTGTCTATAATTACCAAATTTGTTACCGCTAATTTATCTGTATGTAGTGTAGGGCACTAATAGTGATGAGGAACGGATAAGTGACGAGAGAGAGTAGGGATTCACTGGTTTATTAGGGAGGTGCGTACAGACCGAGACCAGGCTACAGACTGTTGACCGGCGCTGAGGCGCGATCCAATTTATAGTTTGGGCAACAGTGACACCTTGCTTGGTGGGTGAGTTCAGAAAGAGGAGTATTGTAGGGCCTTGGCCAAGAGTGAGGGAAGCAAGCCAGAGAGGGGAAGAAGACAAGAAATAAAAATACTGACTGACACTTGTTTAACTCCTTTTTAAACCGTCAAATCTCTACACCACTCCCCCTTTAAAAGAATTTTCTCAAATTGCTCCCTTTCCTTCAAAGTTATCACTTCTCCTCCTTTTAAAGTTATCACTTCTCCTTCTTTTTAAAGTTATCACTTCTCCTTCTTTTTAAAGTTATCATTTCTCCTTCTTTTAAAGTTATTACTCCACTCCTTCTTTTAAAGAAAATTATAAGTTGCCCAAACTTTGACATTCAATTAAATTTTTCTGCGTCGTCTTGAGTGTTGAGCTGAAAACAATATCACGTCTAGGCCCATCTGACTCAAGGAAAGGGGTGTCCATCCTTCCTTGACACGCCATCAACGATCAAACAAAATTCATGATCCTCTTAAAGAGTGGTTCAACAGCGACTCCCATGGCACGTCCAAAAACTAGTTAGGAACGCCATCCTGGGGTGCAACCATTTAGCCTGATCATTTTAAAATAAAGGAATTTTACAGAAATGGATTATTCTTGCTGTGTTGGTCTTGTTGACTCTAGAAGACAGTTCTAGAAGAGTTCTCGTAGATTCTCCTGTAACACACATAACACTGCGCACAGAATTTTGTAACCTAATCCCCTCTAACTAACAGTTGGGGATGATGCCTTGGTGTTGCAAATCCTGACTAGCTAGCTAAATCCTATCTAAAACACCAGTTTTGATCTAAGAAGACTAATTAACACCAATGTTTTACCACACTTAACTTGGTAATTGTCCCAAGGCCTCGATGACTTGTTGTTGCACAGTCTCTGGAGATCCTGTGGCATCCACTACTGCATGAAGTCCTGGTTCGTTCTCCATCCAGTTGTCCAGAATCAGATGAAGCTGTTGGATGTAACCCTTGGACAATGTGCTCTCTTCATCCCTTGCCCTTTTATGGATCCTTTTGTAGGCTGTTGAGGCACTGCCTCGAAGATATATGAAGTATTCCTTTCTCTTGTACTGAGATACCATAGTCTTGGCTGTGTTGTCAAGCAATACATACTGCTCTTCGTTCATAAATCCAGCGTCTTTCTGCGTTTTAGCGAACATCTTGACCACACTATGTAGAGATCGCTCTGCGATGATGACAGGATTTTCTTGTTGTATAGCTTCTAGTTGAGCCTGCCACAATGTACTGAGCACCATTGATTGAAAGGTAAACGCCCACTTTTGCATATCTTGAGTGTACAATTCCAGGAAATTAATCCCATGATAGTTTGTCCACTGGGAAACTGGTTCTTGCACTACAAGGTATCCTTTTTCTTCCAATTTCTTCAGTAACGTTGACTTGCCAACTCCTATGTTTCCTTCAATGTAAACAATCACCGGCTGTTTGACAGCTGTCTGCTTGAATTTGTTGTACCATGGCTGCCGACTTAACCAGGCAAGCGCCATGTCTGCGTCTCTTGGCTGTCAAGTGCCGACTGACCGTGAGGCTTGACCGGGCAACGGCCCGCGTGTTATGCATTCCAGCACGCATTGCCTCGGTGCGTTCATATCGAGTGCGATTGATCCGCATGAATGGCTATTGTTTTCACTGGGTTGGCTACCCTGTTCGCACTGTTGCTTCGTCGTGCGCGTCACTTCGTGCCGATGGTGGGGTCACGTCGCTGCGCTGATTGGCTCCCGAGTTCGTCGACGCCCGCGTCGGTGGTGGGGGCAGAGCGGCTCTTCAGGACTACACTCTTAAAACCTTGCGAAGAATGTGTTCGCATTACAAACCATTTAGTTCGCAGCTTGCGAAGAGTTTGGCTTGATTGTATTACGAACTAATAGTTCGCAATTTTGCGAACAATGTGTTTGTAAGGGCTTCGCAATACAAACACGTTGTTCGCAAATTGCGAAGCACCTCTTCGCAAGTTGCGAACTACTGATTTGCAATACGGATGGGTTCTTCGCATTGCAAACAAGTGAGACACTCCGCAAGCTTACAAACACATCGGTTCGCAAGGTTTTAAGAGTGTAGCGCTCCGCTCCGTCCGATGTATTGCAATGGTCTAGTGGGTAGCGTGTGTGGCCCAGATGGATAACAGCCGGTATCGGCGGTTCGAATCCACCTTGATGCAGATCTTCACACCGATATCTCAGAAAGGCATTTAGCAGAGTATCATGTTGGGTCCCCTCTTGGGTCCCACTTGGCCCTACTGAATGGCCTGTGCTGGGAGTGCGGTTGCTGGTGTCGCTTCAGGTATTCGCTCCGTGTTGGCGGTGTTGGTGGTGGTCATGGTGCTGGTGCTGTTGTGCTGGTGTCCTCCATGGCGTCCTCCACGGTGTTCACCGCGAGGTCCCGAAATGGCAGTTCCATCTTCATTTCGGGATCATTTCCCTCCACATTGGTTGGGGTCGTGCACGAGTGCGCCGCCTTGAGTCGTCCAGTTGGTACATGGTACTCTGGAACGCCTGAGGTGCTGCTTGCCGATGCCGATGATGTGGCCTTCAGATACCGTGTGGTGTTCTCCATCTGGCTCACCCCTGTCACAGACCATAGTAGTATTTTGCCTCTGAATCGTATAGTTCTTTACTGTGTCTGACATTCCAACGAGCCTTTGCTCCTTGATACTTGACTCCGGCTTTCCTGCCATTGCATTGCGGCCTGTCTGGCTTGGTGGTGGTCGCAGACGTCAGTCCTACCAACTGTGTCTGTTTAACGGTCAAACTTCTTTTGCTTCGTTC